CTTTCCCCCTCCCTCCCTCTTTTTTTTCAGTTTTTTAATGAAATATTGAATAGGTACAAAAGAATATTATATATTAAATATCTGTAAGATATGATAAATAATGCCCCAACTACTATGTGTTCACCACCCCTTTTTAAGTAAAATTACCAATACCTTTGAAGTCTTTTTGTATCTCTCTTGTATTTCATCCTTTTCCTCTCTATAACCACCATTTTGAATTTTTAAAATCATATTTTATTTTTGTTTTGTCACATTTTTTGTCCTTAAACAATTTATTGTTTAGTCTTGCATGTTTCTGAACTTAAAAATAGAATCATAGTGTTTATAGTCTCCTGTGACTTAATTTAAAAAAACCCAACATTTCTAAGATCATCATTGGCACTATATCTGTTGTAGTCATTAATTTTCATTGCTGTGTAATATTCCACACACGAATAAACCACAGAATAGAATGCACAGTTTACTTATGCATTCTAGAATTGTTGAACATTTACATTGTAGTTTTCTTGCTGTTACAAACAGTGCTGCTACAAGCAGTCTTACATCTTTTATAATTTCTCTGGGGCATAACTAGGAGTTGAACAGCATTGTCCTAGGGTGCTCGCATGTCCTGGGGTGCTCGTAATGCTGGTCTGTTTTCAGAAATGGTTGCACCAATTTACAGTTCTTCTAGTATTGTATAAGTTATTTGTTGTTACACATTCTTGACAACACTTGATATTATTAGACATATTTATATGTCTTCATTGATAGTATGGGTACTTAATGTTGTGATTGTAGTTTTAATTAGCAGGGGAGCCTGGCTAGCATGACTCAGTGGTTAAGCATCGACCTATGAACCAGGAGGTCATGGTTTGATTCCCGGTCAGATTACTGTTCAGGGCACAAGCCCCAGTTGTGGGCTCGATTCCCAGTAGGGGGTGTGCAGGAGGCAGCCGATGAATGGCTCTCATCATTGATGTTTCTATCTCTCCCTTTCCCTTCCTCTCAGAAATCAGTAAAAACATATTTAAAAAAATAATTAGCAAGGAATTTTTTCCCCCTTTTCCTTTTGTTCCTGTGAGAACATGAACATCTTTCATAGTTTATTCATCATTCTGGTTTCCATTTTCTTTTTCGTTAAATTACATTTTTGAGGGGGCAACATTGGTTAATAGGATCATATAGGTTTCAAGTGTATATTTCTATGATACATGATCTGTATATTGCACCCTGGCTGGGTAGCTCAGTTGATCAGAACATCGCCCCAGTATGCCAAGGTTTCAGGTTCGATCCCCGGTCAGGGCACATTCAAGAATCCATTTTCTGATAACATATAAAGATGAGTAAGATGGATGATCTCTTACCTCAATTTGCATTTAGTTAAGCTTAATTAGAAGCTCCAGACTTTGTTCCATTAAAATATAGATTAGCTATTTGAATTATTTATAACTACTTCTCTGTTTCAGTTTACTCATTTGTAAAACAATGGACTTGGACTGGTTAATATCTAGTGTCCCTTTTACTAATGTCTAATTACTTTGTCTAATATTTTTCTTATTGGTCTTGAAACTTAGAAATAAGCTAGTTATATTGTAGTGGTAAACTGTAAAGCATTGGTTTTTATTTTTTTCATAAGAAAATGTTGGGTTTTATATCTGTAAGATATGATATGTTCTCCAGGGAACTCTCAGATGAATTTCCCAGATACCACTATCTTTTATTTTTAAAATTCTTTTTTTATTAATAATTTATTTTTCAATTACAATTGACATACACTATTGTATTAGTTTCAGGTGTACAACATAGTAATTACACATTTCTATAATTTACAAAGTGATCATCCCAATAAATCTAGTACACATCTGACATCATACATAGTTATTACAATATTATTTATTATTATTATTTTTTTAATCCTCACCCTTGGATGTTTTTTTTACTGACTGTTTTGTAACTACCAATTTGTAGTTCGGAATCCCTTCCCCTTTTTTACCCATTCCCATAACACCCTCCCATCTGGAAATCATCAAAATGTTCTCTGTATCTATGAATTTGTTTATGTTTTGTTTGTTCATTTATTTTGTTTTTTAAACTTCAGACATAAGTGAAATCATATGATATTTGTCTTTCTGTGACAAATATCACTTATTTTACTTAGCATAATATTCTCTAGGTCCACCCATGTTGTTTCAGATGGCAAGGTTTCATTCTTTTTTATGGCTGATTAATATTTCATCATATATATATGCCACTTCTTTTTTATCCATTCATCTATTAATGGACACTGAAGCTGCTTCCATATCTTGGCTATTGTAAATAATGCTGCAGTGAACATATGGATTCTTCTGTCCTTTTGAATTAGTGTTTTGGGTTTCTTTGGATAAATACCCAGAAGTGAAATTGCTGGGTCTTTCTTTATCTCTTGTTATAGCCTTTGTTTTAAAGTCTATTTTGTCTGGAGTATTGCTACCCCAGCTGTTTTGTTTTTTATTTCCATTTTCAGGAAATTTATTTTTTCATCTCTATTTACAGTCTCTGTGTATCTTCCCATCTGAAGCGAGTCTCTTGTAGGCAGCATATGTAAGGGCCTTGGTTACTTATCCATTCAGCCACCCTATGTCTTTTAATTGGAGCATTTAATCCATTTACATTTAAAGTAATTGTTGGTGGATCTGTAGTTGTTGACATTTTTATTATTCAGGATTTTGATCTTTTTTTTTTTTCTTTTTAAAGAAGTCCCTTTAACATTTCTTGTAATTCTAGTTTGATGGCAATGAATTCCATCAGCTTTTTCTTTGGGAAGCTTTTTATCTGTCCTCTGATACTAAATAATAGCTTTTCTGGGTAGAGTAATATTGGTTGTAAGCCCTTGCTTTTCATCACTTTGAATACATCATACCTATCCCTTCTGGTCTGAAATGTTTCTGTTGAGAAATCAACTGACAGTCTTATGGGAGGTCCTTGTAGGTAACTGTCTTTCTGTGGCTGCTGTTTAGAGTCTCTCTTTGTCTTTAACCTTTGGCATTTTAATTATGATATGCCTTGGTTTGGGCCTCTTTGGGTTCACCTTGTTTAGGACTCTGCTTCCTGGGCTTATATGTCTTATTTCCTTCACCGGGTTGGGGAAGTTTTCAATCATTGTTTCTTCAGATAGGCTTTCAATCCCTTGCTCTCTCTCTCCTCCTGGTACTCCTACCAGGATGTGAATGGTAGTACGCCTGAGGTTGTCCCAGAGGCCCCAGAAACTATACTCTTTTTTTGGATTCTTTTTTTTTTCTTTTTCTGTTTTGATTAGGTATTTTCTGCTTTCTTATCTCCCAAATCGCTGATTCAATCCTTTGTTTCATCTAATCTACTGTTGATTTCCTCTAATGTATTCTTCATTTTGGTTATTGTATTGTTCATTTCTGACTGGTTGTTTTTTATGTTTCTACATTTTTATGTTTCCTGTATCTTTGCTACAGTTCTCACTGAGATCATTGAATATACTTAATAACCAGTGTTTTGAACTCTGCATCGTGTAGATTGCTTGTCTCCATTTTGTTTAGTTCTTTTTCTGGAGTTTTATTCTGTTCTTTCATTTGGGATGTGTTTCTTTGTCTCCTTGTGTTTGCTTCTATGTATTAGGTAGAGTTGCTGTGTCTCCTGGTCTTGGTAGAGTGGCCTTAGGGACTAAATGTCTTGGGGGGGGCAGTGGTGCAGTCTCCCTGGTCACCTGAGTCAGGTGCTCCAGGTTCGTCCCTTGTGTGGGTTGTGCATGCCCTCCTATTGTAGTTGAGCCTTGATGCTGTTGGCACTTCAGTGGGAGAGATTGACCCTCAGGCTGATTGGTTGTGAGGACCATCTGTGACTACAGTGGAGGAGCTGTTGTGCAGGGGTTTACCCTACAGAGCAGGATTTGCTTTAGTGGGTTCTGGTGCCTGCCAAGTCTGCACTTTGAGTGTGTCATTTGTGGAGGTGGTTGGGAGGAATTCTAGTGCTGGCCAAGGTCAACTGCTGCCTTTGCCCTCTCTGGGTTACTTGGTATGAGCTACAAAGTAATCTACAGATGGTTGCCACTTGTATCGGGCTTGGAGGTGCCTGGGAGAGGCTAAGGTAACTGAGGCTGGCTACCACTAGTGCAAAACTTGGGGCTGCTTAGCAAGAGGAATGGGGCAAAACAAGGTGAGATGCTGCTTGTTTGGAGTTTGTGAACATTTAAAAGATTTGGGGAAAACCGGAAGCATGAACCAAGATAGGCTGTTTGTATGTAAAAGCCATTGGGTGGGCCTGCAAGTTGGGTGAGGTAGGGTCTCAGAGAATCACCAGGGTTGGGCAAATTGTGTTAACTAGGTGGATGGAAGCTCAGATACAGCACCCACCTGTGAGTGTAGGCTGGGTTGGTGGTGGGGTGTGGAGATCAACAAAAGAGCAATGGCCTCTGGGCTAAAGCTGCCCCTCCAGCCCTCATCCTGAAGCCAGACAATTCAGTTCCTCCCCATATGTCCCTGGAACCTTCCAAGCTGCCTCCCCAGAGTAAGTGAATTTGTCAGCAAGTAAGTCTGGGACTCTAGCAACCCTCCATCTCATTCAGTCACAATCCCCTCTGGTTTTCACAGCCAGAAGTTATGGGGACTTCTCTTCCCAGCCCTGGAATCCTGGTCTGGGGAGCCTGATGTGGGGCTAGGACCCCTCGTTCCTCAGGGGCACCTAAGCAGCCAAGATACCCCTCTTGATTTTTATCCACCACATGTGGGTGTGGGACCAGCCTGTTTAGTATCTCCACGCCTCCTACATGTCTCTACATGGCTTCTTTGGTATATCCTTAGTTATAGGACTTCTTCTGTTCAGCTAGTCTTCAGGAGGTTCTCAATGATAGTTGTCCTGCAGTTTAGTTGTAATTTTGATGTAGTCATGGGAGGAGGTGAGCTCAGTATTTACCTATTCCACCATCTTGACCAGAAGCCTATTTTTAAAATTTTAAAATGCTGTTAAACCTGTAAATTCAATCCTAACATATATGAATTATTCTTTCTCAGAGTGAAGATACCCAACAGCAAATCATCAGGGAGACATTCCATTTGGTATCTAAGAGAGATGAAAATGTTTGTAATTTCTTAGAAGGAGGATTGTAAGTAAAGCATTTCATAGACAATACTCATCTTTGACTATATGATTAAAATATATACTGTTTAATCTGCTTATGGTAAAATTGAATCAGATGAATTAATTGCCACCTGTGTTAGCCATAATTCTAACTTAAAGAATTTTTTACAGATATGCAATCTTGTTTTTCCTTTTTAAGAATTTTATAAAAGTATTTTATATAAAGGCAATATATTCATATAGTGAAAATTCAAACATTACACGGACGTATAAAATGTAAATCAAGAGTCTCTCTCCCAATTTTAGTCCTTTTTCCCAGTTTCTTGTGTATCCTTCTAGAAAATTAATTTTGTGTTGACTAGCATATAAAAGCATGATCCTAAGGTATTTTACCTATGGGATCAAAGTGTGTATGCTAGTTTGCATGTTGCTTGTTTTCACTTAGTATTTTGAAAATCTTTGCATATAAACACATCTAGACCAACCTCATTCTTTGTAATGACTGCAGGTTATTCCTGTAGTCATTACAAGCAAAATTATAAGCAAAATTACTTATAATTAACTTGCCAACTATTATAAATACTTTTATTTATTTATTTTTAAAATATCTTTATTGATTTCACAGGTAGAGGAAGGGGAGGGAGAGAGAGATAGAAACCTCAATGATGAGTCATTGATCAGCTGCCTCCTGCATGTCCTGCCCTGGGGATCGAGCCTGCAACCCAGGCATGTGCCCTGACCGGGAATCCAACTTCAGTCTCTTGGATCATAGATTGATACTCAACTGCTGGGCTATAAATACTTTTATATTAATGAGTTTCATGAAAATAATTTGCTCTCAAATAGTTTTATAAATACTCCCTCATGTTTATATAATTAATTTCTTAATAAGATATTTCCTCATTGACAATTCAAAAAACTGAACTTTAACTGCGCCCGATTATGAATAATCACAGGTTAGAGAAACCTACACTTTTGTATTTTAAGATATATGATGCATATTATAAAGAATATGCATCAAGTAGAAATTATGGCTTGACTTGTGATTATTCTTTTCCAACCTTATAAAAAGTAGAAAGCAAATATTGCGTCAGAGATGAAGCTACACATCTGGTTTTGTCACTAACATGCTGGTTTTCTTGGTCAGACAACTTAAAATCTTGTACCTCAGTTTTTACCTTTGTAAAATGAGGTATTTGAACTAAGAGGATTTCTAAAATTCTGTGGTTTTATATGGTGTATTGCCTTCCATACTAGAATTTGTATCAGTATTTATCAGTATTGTACCGTAGTTTAAAGATGAAATTATATTTTTAAGGGCAAATAGATACTTCCCATATTAATATAACATCTTTGATTTTTTTAAATAACGTTAATAGCCATTTTGAAACCCAAAAGTTTGGTCTTCTTCTTTTAAAACACAGCCAAACAAAAGTTTAGGATAACTGCTAAATTGTTGCTTTCTGATGAAGCGAAGCCTGCTGCTTGTGCTCTTTTTGTCTTTTTCAAGGAACAATTGCAATCATAACCTATAAAAATAATGTCAGAGTCTTTAAAGTGCATATACAAATTTTTAAATTGAATCTCTTTAGAAACATATCTAGCATAGTAAAAAAAAAAAATTAGAGAAATATTTCTACAGAGCTTATAAATTCAGTGTTATTGTTATTGAGTAATATGTGCCATTTCCCCTTGTTTGAGTGTTCAGTTAGCCTGAATTACATTTAGTCTTGATTTTATGTTAGTGTTAGAGGGTCTTGAAAAGGTGAACAAACTAATTTTTGTAAGCTTAAATATGATAGCTAAACTGTATTTAGAAAAATATAAGATGTTTAGAAAGATTATTTTTAAAATGCTGTAATTTTAATCAATATAAATAAAAAGTTGATGAAAGAATTGAGTACCTCTTAGCTCAGTTGTTTGTTTGTTTTTTTAGCATTTATATTCCAAAACAAAATGTGTTTTTGGAGGTCTTGTTGGGGAATCTGTCCAAACTTAAGAAGAAATGTATTTTTTTTTTTACTCATTTTCTAATATCTTAAGCTGTTCGACTTACTGTGACCTATGGAGTTAAATTTAGTAAGCACATACAAATGCCCTATGATCTGATTTCTGACCCCTTTCTGACCTCATTGCTTACTAACCTTTCTTTGTCTATAGGCCATCTTTCTCTCCCCTGAACATCCATACTTTGTTCTTGATGAAATGGCCTTTTTATTAGTTGTTACCTCTGCCTGAAATGCTCTTCTCTAAATTTTGTCATGGCTGGCTCATTATCATTAGATCTCAGCCTAAATGTCACTCTTAATATCTAATCTGAAGTAACAAATCCATCAATATGGTATCATCCTATTTTGATTCTCTATGTAGTGCTTTCCACTCTGATAATTTTTTATTATTTATTTTGTTTGTTTATTGCTTCTTACCCGTTATCAGTGCCTGACACATATAGTAGGTACTCAGTAGATAGCTTAATGAATGAATGAATTACATTGAAGCACAAACAACTTTTAGTTGACATTTTTGAAGAAAACCATCTTTATTTAGTCTCTGATACAAGTTCACTTGAATGCTATACCATTAAATGTTACATTTCATTTTATAAAACGTTTTTAAGCAAATTGTCAGTTTGCTTGAGCTAATGAAAATGTTTTTCATTTTGTTCTTATAATGTTCCAATTGTTTTGTTTTGTCATTTAGATTAATTGGAGGATCTGACAACAAACTGATTTATAGACATTATGCAACGTTATATTTTGTCTTTTGTGTGGATTCTTCAGAAAGTGAACTTGGCATTTTAGATCTAATTCAAGTAAGTTAACATCTGCCTCTATCTTAAATAACAATTTTGGCATTTACATTTTTAAAAGTTATATGTTATAAATTTTCTAAAATGATATTTTGTTTGGTAAGAAATGAAGTGTTTCATAGTAGAGATTGGGTGGGTAAAAGAGGGAGGAGGGATGTAAAAACTGTAGACAAACTTAATCTGGTTAAGACTAATCACAACTAATTTCATCACGGTCCTTTTTCTTGTTCATGTAAGTCACCACAAGAAGCCCAAGACTCATGGGTCTTTTACCATGTGTATCCAGATTTGACCCCAAAACCCACTCCTCTCTGTCTCCTGAGAATCTTTCATAATGTCCCTGGAGCTCAAGGTCAGTCATCAGCAAATTCCTCTTTATCTTCAACCTCTTCTGCAATATTACTTTCACCTTTTTGCTCTAAGTTAAATCTGGTTTCCTTGATGACATTACCTGCAACCCACTCCAATGGTAGCAGTATTCTCTCATGCTTTCTTTTTACTGTTGAGCCTTAGAGGTGTTCTCCTTGCTTCTCATTGCTTTTTCCAGATATAAATATCTCTTCTAAAATACCTCCAGACTTTATCTCATGTTATCAAACTATACCACCTTCTACCCACCCTGTTGCAGTAATCTTTCATTGCCACCTTCCATTCATTGGAGATTCTATGAAAAACTTTCAAGGGTCTGAGATTTACCCTACTTGCACGGTAACAAGTTAACTACCACACTTTCGTGGGTGCAGAAGATGAGAGATTTCAGGGCCAGAAACAAAGGACTTTATTACTAACAGCAAAAGCAGTAGCCAAAGTAATAGCATTTGCTTACATTGGGTCCTCAAGTCCCAGTTTCCAAAGTGTAACTTGAAAAGGGCCATGTGATACCTGCATACACAGTAGGTTCAGTTATAGCAGAGGAACCCCAGTCTTAGGGAACTGGAATCTTTTATAATGGATGCTAAGCATATCTGCCCTTGAAGTAGAGAAAGAGAATGTTTAGAGAATGTTTTCTCAGGGTAAACCTACCCTTTGCTTTGGAGGGAGACACTCTGTTTTCCAAGGCTGTTTGCTAGACAAGCTTGCTTGAAAAGATAGTCCACAATAAAGGCAGTCAATAAATGTGCTCACATTATGTACAGAAATGGAAGACTCATGAAGAATTATTCACTGCCTTCATTTCAGTACTGCTTGTGATTTCAGTGTTCACGTGGATAATTCTTTCAGTACACTGGTGTCTTCAAGTGTGGAATTCCTCTTTTCCAATGAATTTTGCCCTCTGCCCTACCTCACTACTCATTTCTTGATATTATCTTTATCCAAACTTCAGTTCCTCCACCATTTCAGTTTCACAGTTTACACGCTCTGCTACCTCTTATCTTTCATATCACAGTTTCTATTACTCCAATAATTCTTTGAACCTATTGGGATCTTAAGTCTTTTAAATCTTTTTTTTTTCTTCACTGTCCTTGATCTTCCTAGTGTCTTACTTTCCTTACCCAGCTTAAATTCTATGGTTAGTCATGATAATCATAGCCTTGTATATAGTACTCAATTCCTTCCATATACCTATGCATCTGAACATACTTAAAGGAGAAAAAAACCCATAACCATACTTACTGGCTTCACTTTAAATCCATGATCCCTAACCTCTGTGAGTCCTTAATGCTACCCAGTAATCAGACTGTAGTTCCCTGGCCTGTTCACTGTTCCATACTCTAGGCAACTACTAATACATTCTCTTCTCTCCTTAAATCTCTAGCACTTCTAGTATCTTGCTTCCTAGTTCACTGAAAAAATTCAAGCAATCAGAGGAGAGCTTCTTCAGACTCTACATCTGTGTCGATTTACTCTACTCTCTGTTCTGTGAGAGATGAACTCTATACTACTAGCTAGCTAAGGCCAATTCACCCACTTACATACTAATTTTCTCCTCATTGCTGTAGCAGTTCTCCCTCTTTTGGGTTATTTTTCCTTTCTTTTATTTATTTTTTGATCTGTGATTTTGTTTTTAATTATCTTAAGCCTTATGATCACGTAATTTACAATTTTGTGTTGATGATCTGTTCTCCTCTACTTTGATCCTTCTAGTGAGTTGGCAAAAGCACCATTACCAAACACACATATGTACAGTAATTCTACAGTTGTTTTTGAATAGCTGTTCAAGACAATCCTGAATTAGAATTTAGTCTGACTTAAAGAATTCACAAGCAAAGTTTGCTACTCTATCTTGTTACGATGAGTTTTATAATACATTAGACCCTATAGATCATCTATAAAATGTGAAGTGTTAAATATTCTTTATTTGATATTATACATAAACCACACTAAAATTCCTTTTATTAAGTAAAGGACAACAGTTTAGATACAAAGAATTTTAATTAAATTGGCATAGGTAGGACCAAAAAGATAAAATGGACACTGCCAGCCTGTCTTCAGCCCTTGCCTTTTAACAGGCTAATGAGCACAACTTGAAACACAGGTGAGTCTTGCTGGTCTAAGAAACAGTAAAGGGATTTCCTCAGTATTTAAATATATTAATACAACCAGTTATATAAATCTAAATATAAAACCAGTCTCCTACAGGTTTTGGGATAGCATTCACCATCTCTGTGAAAAGTTGAGCATTACAAATCAAGTCCAATCATATTTTTAGAAGAGGAAAACAAGGATAGCACTTGCTGAACTGAAATTACCATCAAAGTTCAAAAAGCTGATCATATTAATTTAACCACAAGCCAATCTTATTTAAATAAGGATTGCCCAAAAGAAATGTTTTATCATCCATTCATGATCTGAATTCTGGTGTATGAGATTAATTTAAATATGGTACACATTAAAAAAGCCATAAGACATAATAAATAAGCCAGTGCCAACTATTACTCATTAGTAGCTTATTTTGAGATAAACTATCAAGTCTGCCCTTTCTGCACTCCTCTTAACGCCAGTAAAGTCATTTTTTGTTTCAGGGATATACTTGGTATTCTCCAAATACTCCCAGCAGTGTAGTTTCCCCCCAGGTGATAACCTTTGTTCTTGTTGAGAGACAATCAGGGACCTGACCTGTCTTTCACCCAAATAGACCATGGAGATTTGGCCCAGTTTTGTGCTTGCCTCCCTTTTCCCACAGTATGGCACCAGACACACTTTTGAACAAAAATCATCTTGCTTTTCTCAACATCACTCATTTTTAAATTGCTCTTATGTCATATGTGACACAGAGGTTTCTACTCACAGGCCAGATGTTCTGCTAAGTCCAAGGACACCCCCCGTCTGTGCTTAGGTACTGGTGTTGGTGCAACTGAACTTGCTCACATTTTTCCTCCTTTAGATCATTCCCACTAGCCTATATTTTCTCCCATCTTAAAAAAAAGCCCTGTCTCTACTTCCTTCTCCAGCCACTGCCTCATTTCTTTCCCTCCTTTTATAGCAAAAACACTTTTAAGATGCCTATATACAATGTCTCAGTTTTTTCTTTTCCCATTTTGTCTTGAGCACACTCCAGTCAGGTTTTCAGCTCTATAGTTGCTAATCTAAAGGGTCTCATCAGTCCTCCTTTATTTGATTAAGATTGTTTATCACTCTCTTCTTCATGAAATATTTTCTCCATTTGGCTTCTAGGACATCTTACTTGCCTGGTTTTCATACTACTTCTGTTGTTGCTTTATTTCAGTTTTTTTATCTCTCCTATCTCCTCTTCTTTGGCAAATCCTGTTAGATATACAGAATATGACCACTTATTACTCTCTGCATTGCGACTACAGTGACCCAAGACACCACCAGCTCTTGCCTAGATTATTACAGTAGTTTCTGACTGCTCTTTGTGCTTCCACTGTCTTTTCCTCTTGGTCTTATCTCAGTAAAACAGCCAAAGTGATATTATTGAAATATGTCACATCTTACACTCTTCCATTTTGAATTCCTCAATGGCTTTTCTTCTAACTCGGAGTAAAGGCTAAGTTCCTTAGAAATGACCCATGAAGCCCCACATAATTTGACTCCCCTCCCTATACCCTATTATTTATCTTCGTCTTTTATTCCTTTCCTTTGCTGTTCCTCAGACATACTAGCCATGCTTCTACCTCAGAGCCTTTGTACTTGTTGATCTTTCTACCTAGATTGTTCTTCCATTTTATATTTCCATAGTTAGCTCCATTATTCTTTCAGGTCTTGACCCAGGTGTTACCTTCTTAGTACGTATCCCTAGCCTTTTTCTTTCATATTTTCTAACCCCTTTTCTGCTTTATTATTCTTTTCCTTAGTACCTAATGTACCATTGAGTATACCATATATTTGACTGACTTTATCTTGTTTATTGTCATTTAGCCTTACAAGAATATAAGCTCTATGAGAGTCAGGACTTTTTTTTATTTTGTTCACTTATTTATCCCTAGTGTGTACAAAGGTCCAGGCACATAGTAGGTCCTCAACAGATAATTTTGAATGAGTCCATGTATTTAATGCCTAATATTTAGCATTCTTTGTGAAATAAATGACAGCAAAACCCAAAGGTTAATTAGAAAGAGTTAGCTAGAAAGGTAAAATATAGTGCTTGCTATGTAATAGCAATTTTTAAAAATCTTTTAATTTTTTTTAATTTGTGAAAATCGTTAAGCTCTCTATACACTTAATATTTTTGTACTTTCTGTTTATGATATTCCATTAAAAATTAACTCTAAGACAGTAAAAAAATGCAGTTGTTACAAATAATTGTATTGAGTTAAGATTATCATGAGGGAATGCTTATGCATGAGTCAGTCACTTTAAAAACATTGAGTGAACAAAGATGGGAAGAAGTAGCTTATTGTTTCTGCTTCTTTCATGCAACAACTATTCAGAGCTTATTTAGAACTGGTTTTCTTACTTTGTGCAGTCTCTGGTTTTAAGAAAAGCAAGTGAAATGTAAAAAAGTAAATGTGGAAAATTATAAACCAAAAGAGTTTAGGTCAAAAACCTCTTGGTTTTGCATATTCTTTAGAGAAAGGATTGGGAAAACTTAATAAGCATCA